AAATAATAAAAGTTGGTACTTTAAGTACTATTCTGCGCTAAGGTGGCCTTTTAATATATATTTAATTGTTGTGTTCAATAAATAAACTGTACATACATATTTTATATATTATTGCAGTTATGCAGTTAAAAAATGAATAATAAATGTTTTCAATAAATTCATATCAAATAATTACCTACTTCACTCTTCTTGCTTCTTTTCATGTATTTTTATAAATTATTTATACACGTAATTTTATAAATTGTACAAAATTTTATGGTTTTAGAAAATAAAACTTTTGGAAAAATAAAACTTAAGTTTTTAATGAATGAAATATGTTTATTTATTGTTTACTATTCAGTTATTAATGGTTTACTATATAAGAAAATCTTCATGTCAGTAGAGCATTATAAAACATTAACTTGCTAAAATTATAAACTTTTTAAAAGTTATTTAGATATATTAATATATTATTGAGCTTTTAAGTACTTAAAAAATATCAAGTTTAAGCGGAATGTCTTATATAGGAAAACTTGAACTCAAAACCAAGTAAAAATTTAATATTTAATACATTTTTATGAAATAAAATATATTTTCAAATTATATTGTAAGTTTTATTAATAGGCTTAGTAATATATTGAATTACAATAATATATTGTATTTTGAAATAAATTAAAATAATAAAATGGGGAAAAAATAATTTGCAATATTTACTTTTGATTTTAATTATAAGAAAGTGTATAATTTTTATCATAATAGATTTCCTTATGTAGAATACAACTTATTGAATATTATTCTAAAATTTAGTTAGTGATATTATTGGAATTTGTATATAATATAAAATAAAAATTTAAACCAAATTGTTATAATGAATAAATAATAATGCCATAGTCGATTTGTTCATCTTGTAAATTGAAGATAAAAAAAAAAAAAATTAGCCAGATATAACATAGATCCTAGGGATTATTAATTGGAATTTTTATTTTTTACTTACAATTCACATCGACACTGCTGAACAATAAAACATAATGTAATATAATGATAAATAACTTTTGTTTAAAAATTAATTCTGATCAAAGCACTGTTAAGACTACAATTTTAAATATTAGAAATCCTTTGTATTTTTACTTTTCAATATAATAGTTTTTCTCATTCGTAAAAATACTATTTAAATAGTCTATAAATGATCTGTTCATTGTACTATTAAGATACAATTTTCAAAAGATAATAAAAAATAAATAAATATACTATTTTATAAATATGTTTGACCTTTTAGGGTAAAATATGACAGGTGTTTATCGATGTTATCTTTTACATATCACGGTCAAGCGCAGATTCAATGATGGGCGGAATAGCAACCGCCTCTCTACTCTTTTGACTTAGTTTTACTTATAAAAAATTCCCAGTAAAAAAAATAACATCTCTATTGTATTTAAAACGTATTCTAACTTCGATTAAAATATGATACAACAAATATAAAATTCATAAAAATATTTTGATGTATTTATCTTTAAATGGTTAAATATATTCTATGAAAAATATTTATTTTAAATTGAACGACTGGTTTTTTTGTGATGACTTTAACTAATCATATTATTATGCTCAATACATAACTGTTTTCTATATTTTACTGAAAATTAAATTATCATAAAATTATTTTAATAATGATGTTAATTATAGTATTGTTAGGGGCATCTTCAGAAACTAGATTGGAAAGGAAGGATAAATCGTGATATCTATAATAATATTATACCATACTATACTTCATATTATACATTTTTTTTTTTAAATACGAGCTTAGGTAGTCCTTAAGTATTGTGAAATTGATTAATGAGTTAAATTAATTCAGTTTAATTCATCAAGAGGTTTTTTTTTTTTAGTTGACAACAAAAATTTAATTCTATGATGTTATTGTATAATTATCAATTATATTAGTATTATATATATTATTCTTGTAGTTTTTAATTATATCATTGACAACATTGAAGCCTACTTATTATCTATTTAATAAACATTCATGTCATATTTAAGAAGTTTATTTTTTATATGACAAATATATGCAATTGAGTAGTAAATTGTACGCAATTGGATTCTATTCATAAGTGCAACTAGGGTTAGAATTATGGATAATTCTTGTCTTTAAAAATTTTAAATTATACTTCCACTCTAACACGCTATTGGACGTTTTAGATTTTGAATAAAGCGAATAAAGTATTCGTTCTACTATGACGTGTGTATGACGTATGTATGTGTTTTTATTTTTTTGAAATTATTGCGGTGAATCAAGTGAACTAATCATAGTAATTGTCTACCCAAAACTACATTACGCTCGCTACTATATATTACCTTAATGATATTTTTTTCCACATTAATTACTTAAATATATTGATTTACATGTTACGTGTAAATAACAACAAAGAAACAAAATATTTTATAGTCTACTACTTTTTTTTATGAGGTGTAAGGGATAAATATTATTCAAAGGATAAAAATATGTACATAAATTCAAATATCATTCAATGATTCCGCTTAAGCATCCTAGTACACCACTGGTTCTAATCTTTTTTTACTATCCAAAAAAGTAGCCTTAGAAAAATAATATTATACTAAAATCAATTTATTTCTTTAATAATCCATCAAAATTTAGATTTTTGAAATATGTGTTAAGTCTTCAATTTTTATTTTAAAATTTTTTTTTCTGGTAATTCTCACTAATTTATTACATTTAAGAAAGATAACTTTTAAAATTTATCACTATTAGATTCTTAGATTTTCGATTTAATAATGGTGTGTGTGTGTGCATGAGACATTCGCAATTTTTTTTTTATTAAAAATTATTCACTTTGTAAAAATGCTTAAAATTTTGATACAAAGCTTTTCATAAGTTGCAAATATTTCAATTAAAAAATATCATATATTTATAGTCACAATATTTTTTTATAAGCATTTTAAGTTAACATTTTGATAAAATTTGTAAAACCACAAATATTAGCAAATTATTTTGTAGTAAAAAAATTTTCAATACTTTTATTTTTATGTCTAAGTTTTGAAAATATAATATAATATTTATCTTAATTAATACATACTTAAACCATAAAAATCTAAAAATTTATAAAGACATTATAATATACATTTATTAAAATTTCAAGTTTAAATTTATACGAAATTTTTTATTTAAATGATAAATAACAATGTTAATTATTTAGTTATAATTAAAAAATATTATTGGCGAGAACTTGAAACTTTTGCATAATATGTTATAATATTACCATGCACTGTATTATACGCAATATCATTTTTGATTTATTTCAAGATATTATCTATTTATTCTATGAATCTATTTTTATTATTTTACGGTATTTATAGAAACATGTTATTTAATTCTTTATAATTTGACATAATATACAAGTATATCATTGAATACAAAATTAACTCTCCCATTAAATTTTCCCGATCAAAACCTAATGAAGAGCTGTTCATCATTTTTTGAATAAAATTTACAGAAACATTAATTTCATCAAACTCTGTTTTTTAATTGTAATTTATAAATTTCTAAAGGAAGATATTTAAAATGAGTTTATTTCAACAATTTATTAAATTTTAAATCCAAACATTTTCTTTTTTTTAGTTTTTGTTAATTTCTTAAAATAAGTGCTAAGATTTTTGAATACAGTTAAATTGATATTATTAAGTGAAAAAGCAAAAAATAATTTTGAGATTTGTTTTTCTACAAGGTAAGTGATTATTTACATTCAATTTAACTAGAAAAAACTAATTTTAAGCGATTGATTGAGCATATTTTGAATAAATATTTTAATATGATTCATCTATTTCAGCTTTAAAATTTTTAACAATTCAATCTCTATTTTTGAGTTCAGTAGATATAGTTATATAAATTATTAACTTGGATATATTTTTTTTCACTAACATACGATTGTATGTTTTCATTTATTTTTCCAAGTATTGTATATATCTTAAGGAAAACTTAATACCATACTTAATTTATTTATTTAAGTCAATGGTATTTTTATAACAACATTACATTGAGATATAATTTCAAATGTATGTAATCAAAATATTTAGAAATATCACCTTTTATATCACAACAGGGTTTTCTTGTTAAACTATTTGATGCTGTTATTGATGTTTGAAAGATTGTATAAATTTGTATTTTTATTTTAGTAAGTACACTATTAGACAGTATAAGCAGAATTAAATATCAAGAATTTGTTTTTATTGGTAATTATAAAATATATTGAATTAAAATCAATATGATTATAACGATTATATATTATATTATATGTTTATTAAATATTCCCGTGGTTGGATTTTGATATAATGCGTGCAACAGGTATTAGAAAAACGTATCTTTTCTTTATTTTTATTTCTTAAGAAAACAAAATACCTTAACATTTTATCAATTTAAAATTATAATTTATGTCTGCCGCTTAACTTTAAATTTTATATATTTTTATTTTAATCTCGGTATATTTGTTTTAAATGAATAAATTTAAACGAATAATAACACGACGTTTTATAGATTACTTAAAAATATTATATCATTCCTATTTATTGGAAATAAATAAATTTTCAGTTGTTGGTGTTAAATCGTTAGCGTGCCATTTTATTATCATTATTTTGGTACTCAAAGTGTTATATAAAACACATATATTATATGTATAGCGGTATACTCCTATCTAGGATAATTTAATTTATACAGTTTTTTTTATATTTTTGGCAGGCCATAAAAAGCTTTTTTATCACAAAAAAATAAAAAATAGTGGCAAAATCACCCACTTCCCTTCAAAAAAAAAAAAAAAAGAGATTTAAAAACGCCTCTGGACATACGGACAAGCCATACATTTGCACTGTTTACGCGGTATCCACGTATATTTGGCGCCAAAATCCGTCCTATAGTGAACATAGATTACCAAACTCAGCAAAAAAAAAAAAAAAAAAAACCCTGAGCAGCGCACTTCAAACGGAACCGGAAGTGCATGCAAGCTGCAGTACACACTCACCAATGATGATAGGCATCTCGAACGGGCCGATCGGGGCGACGCCTTGGTCGTCGTACCTGTTGTACGACTGCTGCTGTTGCTGCGGCTGTTGCGGCTGATGGCGTGGCGGCGCGTACATGGGCCTAGGGCTGTAGATGACGGGCAGCATCCGGTCCCTCGGGTCAGTGATCAGCGGTGGTTCGTAAAACGTCTGTCGGGTATCGGCATCGTCGCCGCCGTCACCGTCACCGCCGCCGTCATCGTCGTAATTGTAATCAAAGTTATTATTGTTCTGATCCAAATCGTTGTCGTTGTCACCGCCGCCGCGTTGACGTTTATCTGGCCGACGTTTCGTCGTCACGACCGTTCGCCTGACGCCACCGCCGCCGCCGCCACCGCAATCCAACGTCCTGGCCGTCAGCTGTAACAGACACTTCCTGGAGTCCTTGTACTGGTGGCTCTCCAGGTTGTGCGAGCTACCACCCCTGACCGGCGGCGGGTGTGCCGCGAACAGAGCCACAAAGCCCAGCGCCAACAGGCCGCCGCCCAGCCGCAGTCTTTGGTTTAGCAGCATGTCGCGATCCCTGTGATGATCGCGGACGGTGATCCGAAGATCGCGGGGGCGGCGGCTGCAACCGGTCGGCGTTTACGTACGATTTTATTGAAGTTGACTAGTCGCGGAGCACGACGGTTACGCGGCCCGCGGTATAAACGACTGACTGACTGACTGGCTTACTGCCGGTCGCCACCGCCACTGCCGCCGCCGCCGTCGCCGAGTGGCCGCGCTAAGTGGTGTATTAATGCCACGATAGTCGCAGTGGCGTAGATTTGACTATAACTCTGGGGCGGCAGCGGTGGCTGTGGAATACCCGAGTGCTGGAGCAACAGAAAGTGTTGTTTTTTAATATCTATTTGGGATCGTAAAAATTACTGAAGTTTAGGAACCTACACGGCGACGGGATTTTGTCTCGCGATGGCGAGAGGGTAACTCGCGCAGAAAGCGCGAGAAAAATAAATAATTCTAATAACGATTGTGGAAATATAAAAAAAAAAAAAAAATCCGATGAGCGATACAGTGAGCCAGAGACAACGAGAATGAAAGACAGGGAATCTGCGGAGAGAAAAAAAAGTCGTGTTCGTAAAATCGCGCGTATACGACGGTTTCAACAGATGTCCTCCGGAGCGCTCGCGGTCGTTGGCATGACGCGTCTGCCGGTTCGTTTGGAATGTGTCGGACTGAAGGGACGACGACTCTGGATGTGCGTTGCCCCATGTTGCCGGCAGGCCGCTGGCCCACACACCCACACACCCTATTCGCATGCGACATCCCTTAAAATTGCCAGGCTTCAATGTGCGCGCGCAGCGCACGGGGTGAGGAAATGGGTCATCCGTGTGGGAGATATGTATATATATACATTTTTTTTCTTTTCACCGTTCTCGTTCGCTCGCTTTCTCTCTCACACGCACATACATGCACGCACACTCATCCATATCTCTCACTTTCTCTCTTTCGCGCTCTGTTTCTATTTTCCCAACCGCTTTTTCTTCAACCCGTGGATGATACGGCGAAGGTTGGGCGACGAACTATCTACAATAGGCCCGACGAGAAAACCTGTGGGTGTATCGTGACAACACTGTTAATCACTGGGGTTAATTAAAGTTAATTAACAAGTTATAGTTAATTGGATTTATATCGAATGACTGTCTCAAAATATTTATAATACACTGTATAATATACAAACACGCCGTGTGTAATAAAACCTGGCAATCAATTTCACGCCAAATAACAGTATAGAATTATATAAATGTAATTTATATTATTAATTATCTGCCTATTAGATTGTTGTCATTCATTTTTATAGCTATAAGTACCTACTATTTATTTTTGATGATATCTGCACTCAGCGAATGTGATTGATGTAAAGTGATGAGCTTTACGCGAACGCATTCCCTATGTAGTTAAGAATACACACTAATTTTTGGTCAACAAAAATTATTTTTAAAACACGCAAGTAAAATTTTTAAAATCGTTTTAATTTTCCAATATTTTTATTTATTTAAAAATTTATATAAATCCACAAATATAATAATAGATTTTTTTCAACGTCCAATAGCGAAAAACATACCGGTAAAAATGGGCACTTGCCAACAAAATAATAAAATAATTTATTGAATTGTGTTACCAAGGTAAATCAACAAAAATTATTATTATTTTTATTTTTTTTTTTTTACCACAAACTTGCTTTGAGAAGGTGCTAAAAAGAATATCAATGGCTAAAATTGATATAAATACCTTTGGAGGATAGTCAGAAATCATTATAAAAAAGTTCAGAAATATCGGTTCATTAGTTATTCCAATTAACGTTAACAAACTAAAAACTGCTTAATTTTATATTAAATAGTATTGATAAATTTATTTTTTACTGATTTAATATAACCCTAGTTTTATAAAATATTATAAAAATCAGAAATCATGTATATTTTTATTGGGTTAGCAAATTAAAAAAAAAAGAAAAAGAATTGATTTGATGGCTTAAAAATTGAGAATTAACTAAACGATTCTTAGATACTAGGTTTGTGTTTTAAGACTAACAACATTATTTATTAACGATCTTAAACAAAATAAAAAACGTTAATTAATATTATTATTAATAAGGGTGAAAAGAAAAATAAACATCAAAGTAATAAAAATAAATTATGAACAAGTTTACAAAAGTAATCAATGAATAATCAATAATTAATATATTATTAATAATCATAATAAATTTTTTATGTATGATAATTTATTCCTAATTAAAAGTACCAAAAGTAATGTATTAATTTTAAATAAAATTTGAAATATTTGCATACCTACGTTACTTACGTTATGAAAATTAACAATGTAGTAACTAACAATTCAAAACATGAGATTGATTAGTATAACAAAAATAAATAAAATATTGTTGATATCAAATTTAAAATAATTTAACTAATTATTTATATTGGTTACACATTTGAACCTAGCGGGGGGACTTAATCAACATTTTTGAAAACATATTATGATAATATTATCTAATATTTTTCTTTAATATTTTGATGTTCAGAAATTTTCATTCAAATCATTTAAGAGCTGCACAGTTTATTTTCAGAGCCTTTGTAAGTTTATGCGTATTTTTGGTTCATCCGTAAGTATACTATAAGTATACTATAAATTCAAAATGGGTGGGGTTGGGGACATGTACGTCTATAAGTCTTATAATGTATAAACAGTGGCAGGTTTGCCAAAATTATAATATTATCTGTACCGTATATTGTGAATCAAAGATTGTAAGTTAAAGGGCTTTATCGGATCGAAATACTTAGATGGTTTAGAATGTTTGAATACCTATTTAAGAATTTGGTTTTGCTCCATCTTTAAATTAAATTATAATTAGGAAATAAAGAAAAAATAATTTCACGATTCAAATTATAACAGGAAAATTTTTACTTTGATTGAAATTTATGTCAACTATAGCAATTCAACATGGTTATAAATATATTTAATGGATTATATTCTAAATTGTTAGTAGGTAATTAAAATTATCTAATTAAATAATATAAGAATAGAGTTATGTATTTAAAATGATATAATTAACTTGCTGTATAGTTACAATGTTTAAATTATAGATTTCTATCTCAAATTCAGTAATAGCTTTATATTTATAACATAATTTTCTTTAATTCCAATTTTCAAGTTATAAAGAAAATATTATTAAAACATTTTCAGTGAGAAAAAATGTTATTTAAATTTAAAAAAATAACAGTTTACATTAAATTGAAAAAATATCTCATAAAAATACTAACAAATAACAAGACTATTAATTTTAATAATTTAATTTAATTCACATTTTTTAAACACTTACCTTAAAATATGGGTATATACTAAATAGAATTTAAAAGATTTTATCTTTTTAAAATTAATACCATAATCGGTATCTACCGGTTTCATTATAAAAGGAATTCCCAATATTTTTTTCAAATAACTTACTAACTTAGTAAATCTACGTATATTAAATTTTTTTTTTTACTTGATAATTAAATATTATTATCGATAAGCTAAAATAAGTGGGATTTAGATCATAAAATAAAGTAAAAAATAATCCATGTTATTAATTACTGACTATTTTTTTTATTATTCAGTACTATTTATTTATACATTTTTGCAGAGTAATTTTAAATTTTAATAATATATTTTTTTTTAAGATGTGAAATATGTTAACAAATTATCAATAGTCAAAATATTAGATGAGATTTCATTAATACCGATTTATAATTGAAAAACGATGTATAAATAACATAAATATAAATATATTACATTTGTCTAAAAAATATTTGTTTGGTTAGATTATAGACTAAAGTTAGATTAAAATATTTAAAACATTTGGTTGTAGGTATACAATTGATTTAAAATTTAAAAAAATTTCATTTTTTCAAATTTATTGTACCTTAGTTCATTTTCACATTTATAATAATTGTTAAGATTTAATATTTTTAGAGTAGCAATTTAAATGATATGCACGATAAAAGTTACATAATAAAAAAAAAATGTAATGTATACGGTATAATAAATATTTGTATAGCGAGTTAACAAAGTGTGGAAACCTTAAAAATAAAACTTCTAAAAACATTAAAATAACAGCTTAGTTATGTTTTATCATTTTAATAATATTAATATTTTCCATAATTTAAAGTAATTAAAGTTTGTAGTGTTAATACTGATTATTTAATTTATATTTCTTGTACAATAATATATTGCTTTACAGAGTATTATATTTTTGTAATTTTAATATTATTATTAATAGTAGGTATAACATTTTAAAAATCTACATTGATTTAAAATAAGTGCTAACATTATAAATAAAATTTGTAAATATTTTAACTTAAAAAATGAATATGAAGAAACGAATATTACTACTTTATAGTCAACATTTATTGTACTAAAATTATCACAGCATTTTATATTATCTTTAATTGACAGAATATTGGTCACATGTTTTTAAGTTGATTACATTATAACAATAATACTATGTCCATTCAATTAATGGTGTCTATTCATATAAAATATGATAGCAATTATTTTTCTATCACATAAGAGATATATAAGGTTTAATATTATGGTCATTTATTATTTATTAGACTTACCTTTGGTCTATTAAAAAAAAAAAAAATGATTGAAGATCATATAATAATAATTATAAAGAAACAATATCGTGATAAAATATATAAATAGAGATTTCATTCTTAAACATTTTTACACATATTTGAGGGACCTTACCTACAACCCCATCAGCCACACCTATAAATACACCCCTAGTATAAGGACATATGTAAAAAGCAACCTTAAATAATTCATATTAAATTAATTTTTATTTCAAACATAATATTTTTTCATAAATAATATATAAGTACTGAATAAGTTTAAAAAATTGAATTTCTAAAAATATATATATTCAATTAAAATTAATTATTTTTCTACTTAAAAACAGTTAACTTTTGTTTAAAACTATTTTTAAAATATATTTTTATTACAAACAGCATATAAATGAAAGTACAATGTTTTTTTCTTTACTGCTGTTTTCATTTGTATTCAGAGTAGATAAAATAAATATACTATTTTTTGTTTGAGTAGGCACGTTATGGTTGTTTTAATTTTAAATTAAAAATATTTAAATTTTGTGCTTACCTATGTTTAAAAACTTTTGACAGTGGTATTCACGTTTTTTATTTATAAATTTAAATTATTCAACAAATAATAATAAAGTTAATACTACACATACTAAACAGTGTAATATCATAATCCACATTATTTGAGTAACATAACTTTATCAAAATTTTTCCATATTCGTAATTCAGTACTTTGTTTTAATTTTTGTTTCAAATAATTATTTATTTATCTATATAATTTAACTATTTATTAATAGTACTAAAATTTAATATTAAAATAAAAACATGTTTTTTTATTAAGTTGTTCAATTAGTAATACTCTTTGTATACTAATGGCATGTTATACGTTTTTCTAAATATATTAATAGGACTTTTTTTATTAATGATAAAATCCCGTCATTTTTTTTTTTTTGTTTTTCTGATGATTTTAATTTATAACAAACCAGTGGATGCTGCAGGTAAAAAATGCAGTGCATTAATCCAAACGAGGTGATCAATGTAGATTAATAGCTATACATAGGATAATGTATTATC